ACTGACTGATTTGTGATTTCTGCAGAAACAGACCTATTATTGGGTACCTTCACCAGCACTCAACTGTTGCAAACAGTTGAGTAGAGGTCTGTTCACACATAAATTATACAAACTGGTCAGAGCGAATTTTATTAGTTAGAACTAGCTTCCTGACTGTCCTCAACCAATGCTCTGGCTGGTTTGTAATTTATGTGCGAGCATATACCTCTACTAAACTGTTGGCAACAGTAAAAAAATATTTAGCTGAGTAATATATACCTATTTAGAATATTTATTGAAATTTTTTTTCTCATATTTCATATTTGTGCAATAGTATATTTGAAATATTGACATACTTAATATTTTTTGTTAATATTTGAGAAATATAATAATTGAAATATTTATATGATATATTTTTTTTTGATATTTCAGAAATATTATATTTAAAATATTTAAATAATATTTAAAAATCTGTCGCTTTTATATTTAAAAAATATTTAAAAAAAAAAAATTATTGAATATTTCTTTGCTATCTGGGTCTGATCAGAATACCGAACGCAAGGTGTCTCATTTTCTGTGTTGACTGCGTTTTTGGCTGCTTATTGCTTAATTTTGGGAGTTTTGAGACCTAAAAAAACGCACACTAACAATAATTTAGAAACATTTTGAAAGGAAATTTGTAAAAAGCTGGAATTTATTTTAAAATCCCCAAAGTCAAAGAGGTAAACACAAGGGACGATGACTGATGACAAGAGAAATTTAGGGTTATGGGCACTTGCGTGCCAACAGTCGGCCATATTTGACACATCGTTGGATTGCCTAATTAAATTCTGGACTGTTATTTTCGATTATAGTGTCACGGCTTTGGATTGCCTGACAGAAATCTTGAGTTCGTTTCCTTTATTCCAAAAATCAAAGTCCAATTAACACAGCAATAGTTTATTATTCCACGTAAGAATACACTCTGACACTAATTACTTCAATAACTAACTCAACAATTAAACTCTTTACAACAATAATCACTATTTAAATCGTATCACAGATCACAGTCGAACTGAAACTTAACTACAAAGCAATATAGCGGCCTTTATATATCCCTAAATCTATTCCTGCAAAATCTAGAATACACACGATAATCTTATTTTCCCGATTAAAGTAGAATAATTCGCTAGATTCTAGGATATTTGACAACAGATGCTTACGATTCTTGACAGCCTGGCGGTTGGAACCATCACGAAACAGTTTCAGTTAGGTACCTCTATTAATTCTTTGCCGAAATATGGTCATGCTTACTCTATTATTGTAGTTGTTCTAACATAATGCTATCTGACCATGTCCGTAAGGATATGTAGGTATTCTGTGATGTGTCCGTCATGTTTTTTATTGAATAAACAATGGATTGAAAGATTTTCAGCTGTCATGAAACTCTTTCATCGCGATCAATTTTTAACACATTCGAAGGTGCGTGGGCGTAGCTCATGAAACTCTTGAATTTTTTCGGCGCTGACTCTCCGGCTATGAATGCATTTTTAAACCATATTCCGGCTTCTGCCAGTGTGAACTACAGGGAAGGCAGTGTTGCCAGATGACCAGAATCAAATTATGGTACAATGCTGTAGAAATTATCGTTTTTTGCATGATTTTGTCGTACAAAGCTGACTTTACCAGTGTGACGTCATCGGAGGCTGGTGGCCCCCTTAAATTGAAGGGGTTTTGTAAGTTGTATTTGCAAAATAAATTTTATTAAAAAAACATTTAGAAAAAATATAAAAGAAAAAACTACTCATTTCCGTTATCCCCTACCCTTTGTAATAATTCAGGCACTGGAAAAAAGAGCTGATATTTCAATTTTCAATGGAAGTCAGCGATTTCAGTGTATTTTTTCAAAATTTATCAACATTCAGAAATTATCGTACATTTATCCATTATCGATCGTACATCGTACCTTCTTGTAATTATCGTACAAATACGATAATTATCGTACGTCTGGGACTGTGGGAAGGAGTTATGGGGGGGAGGAAGGGGTGCGTCCCCCCCTATATAATGTCGTCCGAGTTGGTGAAAAATCAAAATACCTAGTTGGTAAAAGTCGAAGGTAAAAGTCCCTCTTCCTATAATTAATTGTTCTTTGAAATGTATCAAGAATTTAAGAAAACTATTGTTATTCTTTATTTTAGGTTTTTAAGATTTTTTCAGTGTCCTCTTTGAATTTATTTGTCCTTTCAAGCAGAGAAATATGTTAAAACATTACTTAATTCTTAAATTTTTTTTGCTACCCCAAACCGATTCTATTCTATCCCGCAACCCCGCAAATACCTATCTACTTAGTTGTAAGTTTCCTTTTCATGAATTACTACAAGTGTTTGTGAAGAGTAAATAAATAAATAAATATGTAGATAGATTTCTTTATTGGCGCGTTTACTATGTAAAGGCATGGAAAATATGGGAAACTTGCAGTGTTTTTCCGGATTATGATTATGAAAGTCTAAAGTAGGTATCACTATTTGGCTTTGTGAGATAAGCACTTACTTTGAATGTCCATATTTAAACCATTTTAGTACTTATGAAACTATTAAATAATAATTGAGAAGTAAGTAGAGACAGTAAAATATAAAACACACTAGTGCAACCACGTTTCGCTCTAAAGCTGCGGCCGCAGTGCGAGCGGTTTAATACCTGGAGGGTAGTGGGTAGCGGGGCGCCAAGCGACCCTCCAAGTAACCCACTAGTGTGTTTCCGAAACAAGTGATTAAGATTAAACCGAATCAGTCGCACTGCGATTCCCCACCACCTTAACCAACCTAGCGGCCCACCAAGCACACCACCTGGCAATCAGTCGTGTTTGGTATATTCATCCTCCAGGCGCAAGGCATAATCGGCATGGAAGAACAATTGATTTCGGCTGTTTATAAATGGAAAGCTATAATATGGGAACCAGCAGCCGAATTAAGGAACACTCATACGTGCAAAATTGAAGAATTTTTAAGGGCAATTTCACATCTTCTTGTAAACTCGCAAAAATTCACCATCATAGTCTCTGTGAAAGTTATACTCATGCACACACATCCTCTTATTTCCCAGATTTACATATTTTAGATAAAAACTGTCACAGAGAAGCCTTTTGGCAAATTTTGAAAGAGGCACCTTGAGCACCCGAAACTACAATAGTTTTATAGTGAACTTGATTTGGATTGGTATATTTCCCCCGCGACGAGTGCGGCCAAGGTATATCCACCCTCTAACCATTAACCTCCACCATCTTCCCACCAAGCTCCCTACTACCGTTGATTTAAGGTCGATTCACACTGAGCAGTGACGTGACAGTGCCGTGACCGGCACGGGATTTCACTGGCGAAGTCAAAATTATTCTCGTAGGAATTGGATGGTACCTATTCCCATCTGCTCGACGAACGACCGTGACAGTGCAAACAGTGCTGTCGCCGGCTCCGTAACGTCATCGTGATATTAGTTCCTAACGATATTTTTGGATTTTCACGGCCGTACAAATTGAGTTGAACTGTGCAACTCAAAATACATGGACTCTGATTTCAAGAATGCTATCTGGAGGGTGTCATGCTTTTTCTAATGAACTTCTATCCTGCACAACAATGGGTTGAACGAATTTTCTGACATCCTTAAGTATTCAAAAAAATTTGCTGCATCGTCTACTAGTTCTTTATAATATATTAATTCCCCTCGTATACCTTAATCCTTTATCCATGCAGGACGGACCCAGTGTCGTTTTTTTACCTGTTCTTCTACATGTTCTTCCATTTCTTCGTCCAAAACCAGTGCGATCTGCAAAAATTCTTCATCTGAAAATATTTCTCATTGCCTATAAATTATACTGACAAGGCACTGATAAAACACTGACCAATATGTGTCAATCGGCCTTTAGCGTGTACCTATAACTGCATGGGTTATTAACGGTTATTACTGGGATCTCGCTAAAAAATGCCTAAAGTTTCCTAAAATAATAAAAACGAAAGGATATTCCAATAAGTACTGAACATAATCTAAAAATGATAAAGTCAAACAAAAATTGAAATTTTGAACTTCTGTTGTGGCTCGCTTCATGAAAAACAAGTCCCCGGATTTTTTTACAGCTATTTAGATGCTACTTGCCCTGACGAGAAACCCTTCTGTTCCGTATACTTATAGACTAATATACAGGGTGTCCCACGAGGTTTTTCTTAAATGATAACTTCGGAACAATCAGAACGCGTCATTCTCCTGTATAATTTTTTATCATTTTATTTAACAAATATAGCATTGCCGATTTTGTAATATAATTTTCTAACAAAAAATGCCATAATATATACCATGAGTTACATTTAAGATTCGAAATTTGCCGTCACTTGACCGAAATTGAAGCGGAAGTGGTGAAATTGGATGACAATGGTAGAAGCAGCACAAAAAGTTACCCAGATCCTTGAAATTTCAATTATATTGGATGACGCGTTCCGAAGTCATTACCTAGGAAAAACGTCGTGAGACACCCTGTATATAGGAGGTAAGGGTAGAAGGTCTCAAACGAGAAAATACCAGAAGGCATTTTCGCTTTATTTTTGCCCAAGAAAAAAAATTATTTGTTTTGAACTTTTGAAATTTGATTTTCCTTAATTTAGTTAATTTTCCTGGAGTGATTTTCCGCTGGAAAATTTTGCTATAATGAGCTCGTGACTTTTTTCTTTCTCTCCAGAAAATTTCATAATTTTCCAGAAAAAAAAAGGGTGTATTTAATTTAAAAAAAAAAAAGGAAAATGGAAAATTGGAAAGTTAAGGGAAAAAAGTTGGTTTTGGGACTTTTTTTGATCCCTTCTACAAAATGGTTATCTTGAAATTTCGAAATTTTTGGTTTTAGGCCCTATACTTTTGGAAACTTCAATTAGCCATATAGAACATTCCAAAATACTTTTCTAGCAGGACAATTTAAAAACCTGAGAATTATTCCAGAAAGCCTGGAATAGACAAAAATTGACTGTTAATTAAATTAAATATGATAAATTCTATTTATTGCATAAATATCCACATAACATAATATACACATACATGTCAATTTCATTTAATCAATACTGGGACAAAAACAAATTTACATAAAATCTCTGGCTGGAAATAGTTAAAATACACAATAAATTAAAAAAATAAATAGCTGGAATAAAAATAAATGCACTTTTAAAACAATCACTTATATAAAATAAATGCAATAAGCATTAGTAACATCTCTAAAGCAAAAAATAATCACTTCATAGAGATGAGGGATAACTTTTAGAAAAACCTTCCAAAAACCATCCCAAATAATCAACTAAAATCAGGCACTTTCGAATCCTTTAGGATTTTTTTGTTGCCAATTCCACGTGTCTTTGCACATAACAAAAATGTCCCTAGTGGCCGTCCAATTGAGTTCCAATTTTGCCAAAGAAGCGTCAGCATAACATTCGGCAATATCGCCCTCTCTTCGCCCAACAATTTCATATTTCACCTTTTCACCTGAGGCTTTTTCAAAGGCCTTAATTACATCCAAAACAGAATAACCATGACCTGAAAATAATTTGTGAGTAAAATTATTTCATTAGGATTTGTGTGTGTGTGTGTGTTACCTGTTCCTAAATTGTAAGCCTTCCACGAGTTGAAAGCAGGCAAAAGCATTTTTTCTAAAGCTTTCAAATGCCCAATTGCCAAGTCTGTAATGTGAATGTAGTCTCTTACACCTGTACCGTCTTGGGTTGGGTAGTCAGCACCAAAAACTTGTAATTTGTCTCTGCGTCCAACTGCAACCTTAATGAACCACGTAATAATAATTATTGAATAAATAAATAAAGCTTACTTGTGAAATGTAAGGCATAAGATTATTAGGAATCCCCGATGGGTCTTCGCCAATCAAACCAGACTCGTGAGCTCCAACCGGGTTAAAGTATCTCAGCAAAATAACTTTCCATTCCTGCAACGATTTATTCATTTTACAAGTTCAAACTAATAATCAAGCTCACTGACACACAAACTAAAAATAAGTACCTGAACTTACTGGATCGCTTGTACATAAGTCCTTTAGAATTTCCTCCACAAAGTATTTGGTTTTTCCGTAAGGGTTGGTGCAGCCTTGTCCTGTAGGATGGTTCTCGGTGATGGGCAGGAACTGAGGGGTACCGTACACGGTGGCCGATGAAGAGAAGACTAATTTTTTCACATTGTTTTTACCCATTACCTTGATAGGAAAAAATCTAGTTTAATATTTAATACATGAAGAGAATAATCCGGATTATCCGAATTCCCTGTACTGATGACTGATTTGTTTGTGATTCACTGGGAATTTTTTCTAGAAGCAATCAATGATCAAAATTTGGACTATTACCAGCTCTTGATTGCTCCCAGCCTGCTAAGACTATTATTATGAAGATATTGATTTCTTGGACATGAGATCAGACAATCAACCGGGGAATAATCAAAATCTGAACCATAATCAACTTTTGATTCACCTCACATCAAGTAAGGCAATCAAAAACCGGTCATAATCAAAATTTTGCTTCATCTGGATTTTTCCTGGAAAATATGTCAGCAGCAAATTAGGAGTATTTTACATTTGGATTATTGAATCAAGCCAGGCAATCAAGATGAGCAGAATGTGAAAAGTAAAAGATGAATTACCTCAAATAATGTCCCAGAACCACCAATATTGTTCTGATAATACATCAAAGGAACTTTGACCGATTCCCCTACAGCTTTCAGTGCAGCAAAGTGTATAACTGAATCAATTTTGTTCTAAAAAAAACTCAATAATCATCTAAAACAGCACATTATCATTTTTATTTGACTTACAGCTTTGAAAATCTTATCCAAAGCATCTCTATCCCTAATGTCGACATTATAAAAAGTGATTTTCTTGCCTGTAATTTGCTCGACTCTCTTGAGAGCCTCTGGTTTTTCGTCGACATCTTTGGCATAGCAATTGACTAAGTTGTCTGCAAATCAGAAAAGATATAGCAATGAAACTCTATAACGAGTAATTTATACCAACCTAAAGCGATAACAGTGTAGTTATTTTTGAGCAGCTCTACCACTGTGTGAGAGCCCACATATCCGGCACCTCCTGTCACCAATATTGTGCTGTTACCTTTCATTTTTTCATCGGTGTCTGATACCCACCACCTGTACGAATTATTATTTATTATAATTGTGCAAATGTTGCTGTGGCGGTTACAATAAATTAATAATTTGTGAATTTTGTTTGTCAATGTCATTTATTATTCAAAAGCCAGAAATAATTCAAAATTTGTATCTTACTTATCAATTGCAACAAATTTCAATTATTATCAGCTCTTGATTTGCTAGACATGATTGCACTCTGATGAATAAAAAAGTTCTAGAGAAAATAATCACAATGATAAGATAAAGAGTAGAAAATTAACTATTACATGATTATTTTAACCCCAATATTTGTTTCAAACTTTATATTTTACAAACCAACAAAAGCCAAATAATAATAATGATTTAATTAATCACATTCACAATAATAGCAATTAAAATAAAAAACACTCCCATTACCAATAATTTCACTAATGTGTATGAGATAATCCTATTTCTACCTTGTTAATTATTATTGTGCAATTGCTTACGAGTTCACTTCGACAACTAAATATTTCAAACTTTGCCAACATATCACTTATACTATTGTTGGCGTTGCTGATAACGTAAAAATACAGTTATTCACTTTTTGATTAAAAAGTGTCACGAACAAACACTTAACTAGATTTAAGTGTAATTTACGAATTTGTTGATTGAATTCACGCTACCGACAAATGGTTTTTGCGATAAGAGGTTTCAAAAGGTTATACAGGGTGTATTTTTAAACCAAAGTTTCATTGGATCAAAAAATTTTATTTTTTAAAGGTTTAAAATACTAAATAATTCAATAATCAAAAGATATTTTCTTCTGGAAGATGTTCAAACGTTTTAAAACCCTTTACAACTGAAAAACTTGAATTCTATTCGCAGAATCAAGATTCAGCTTGACCATTCTACAGTTGAAGCTGAAGTTACTTTAACTTGAAAGGCATGAAAATCTTATTCTCGGCACTTGTATGAAGCCAATGATTTTTGATCAATTTAGAGATGAAATTTAACAAAAAAGATTGAAAATCAGAATCTTGGTTCTCCTAAAGCGGAACTTTCCACGTAAAAATTCTATTTTCAGGGCTTCTGAGGCCAAAATTGAACTTAATAGAAGTGTGAAAGTCTGATTTCTAACCATTTTAGAGTTGAAGTTAAATAAGAGTAACTCTCAATTCTATTGAAAAGGTATGAAAATACAATTTGCAAAGCTTTTAGAATTCAAATTAGAACTTCTGACTATGTATTTTAGAGTTGAAGCTGAAGGTAATTGACTTAGAAAGGCATTAAAATTCTGTTCCCGGCTCTTGGAAAGCCAAATTTGAATTGAAAACTATGATTTTTGACCTAAAGAAAATTGTAAATTTCAATCTCGGCTTCCTTAAGGACGATTTTGGAAATAAGACCATTTTAGAGTTAAAGTTGAATTGAGCTAGAGTGGTTCAAGAAGTTAAAGTGCAGCTGAAAGTCCTTCAGAAAAGTGTGAAAATACTTCATATTTGTAATACTCCAAGTAATACTCATAAGAGTTAAAATTTGACCAAACAAACCTATAGGTAACTAGAGTTAATTCAACTGAAAAGGCTTAAACATTCTATTCCTGGCTCTTATAAATCCAAATTTAAAACAACAAAGTATAATAGTCTAATTTTTGACCATTCTAGATCTAAAATTTAATAACAACACATTGAAAATCCCAATCTAAAGTTTTACAAGAGTCAATTTTAAACTAAAGGCATACAATTCTGATCTTTACTCATTCTAGGGCTGAAATTTAACAATAAAGAGCACGAAAATTCTATTTTCAAGTCTCCTAAAGCAAAAATTGAATTACAGAAGTTATAAAAGTCTAATTTCTGAACATTTTAGAGTTAATTTGAAGTTAGAGCGTGTCAAAAACCTCACGCACAGTTGAAATTCTATTCAAAAACTCCGAAATTTCTATTTGCAATGCAATTTCTGCTTTAGGAGACTTGAAAATTATTAATTGTTCAAAATAGTAAATTGCTAAATAAACTTATTATTATTATAAATATAATTTATTGATAAAAACTGACAACTTTCTAACAAAACAGGAACTTTAAAAGAAAACTTAAAAATAACAACATACATAAGATTTCTTGGTTACCACCATTTAAGCAAATTTTTGCATAAGATTCAACAATCTAAGTAATTTCAAATTCTTTTATAATTTATATGGGGTATTTTGTTTGTTGTTGCTCGCTCTATATGGAGACAAACTGCGTCAAAACACTTGTGTGTGAACAAACAGCCAATTAAGCAATTACAAGCCTATTATTGCCTTAAATGATAAGATAACGTTTTAAGGTTTATCGAGGCCACGCTCCCTGATCTCAGTTTGCTTCCAGCTAAAACAACGCATTTGTAATGAAAGTTGAAATTAGAATTATCGCTACTTGTTTGTAGTCTTTGGTGCAATTTCAATAACTAGGAAGGTAAATAGGAATGTATTTTGTTTATTGGACAACTGGTGAAGTTTTAATGTGAGGTGCAAAATGAGTTTCTGAGGGGTGATAGTTTCGTTTAAATTGGAACAGTTTTGATGACACGTAAAGGCACTAATAAATCATTTTCATGAGTTTAAAAAATGAATAAATGGACCTTTATTGGCCCAAGAGACTGACAAAGTCTATGATAGGGCAGAACATTATAATTAAATTTTTCAAAATGGTTTCTAAAATTTTCAACTAGTTGAAAAATTCTGAATAGGTTCAAAAGTGTTTTAGAATGTTCTAAAATGTTCATGGAAGTTTAAGGTTTAGATTTTTAAAATATTCTAAATGTTTCTAGTTCTAGATTGTTTCCAAAAGTTTTCCATATGATTTGAAGCGTGTTCTAGAGTGTTCCAAAAGCTTTCTAATATGTTGCCACAAGTTCAGAAGTGTTCTGATCTGTTCTACAACGTTTTCAAAATCGAAATTGGTTCTGTAACGTTTAACAATGTTCTCAAAGATTGCAATTTGTCTCAAACAAATGCAGGAGGATTGGAAATTGAATTGAAAGTCTTTTGAAACTTATCATACTTCTAAATTGCCCTAGAGCGTCATTATTTTATAAAATTTGAGGCAATCTAGGCAAGCAGGGAAAATCATAAGGAAGTCAGAGGAAATAATGAGAAAATCAAGAGAAATCTTAAGAAACTAAGGAGAACATCTTAAAGAAATCATGGGAAATCTTAAGGAAATCAGTAAATTTTCTCTAGATCTAACCAGGATTGACAAACAATTTTCTCTACTGTCATGTGACGATTTTTTAAATATTGCAAAAGTTCCATATTAGGGAATTTGTAAAGTATTCTAGAGTGTTCCAAAAGTTTCAGTTCAGAAGTGTTCTGATCTGTTTTAAAATGTCTCTCAAATTATAAATTATTTGTCTCAAATAAATGCAGGAGGATTGCAAATTGAATTGAAAATCTTCTAAAGCTTATCAAAGTTCTAAATTGCCCTAGAGTGTCATTATATTATAAAATTTGAGAAAACCTAAGGCAATCAGAGGAAATCATAAGTAAGTCTGAGGAGATGATGAGGAAATCAAGGAAAATCTTAAGAAACTTAGGGGGACATCTTCAAGTTCCATATTAGGTATTTGTAAAGTGTTCTAGAGTGGTCCAAAAGCTTTAGTTCAGAAGTGTTCTGATCTGTTCTAAAATGTCTTTCAAAGTCTAAATTGTTTCTAAAGTGTTCTGTAACGTTTTACAATGTTCTTAGGTTCCAATTTGTCTCAAACAAATGCAGGAGGATTGAAAATTGAACTGAAAGTCCCCTGAAGCTTATCAAAGTTCTAAATTGTCTTACAGTGTCATTATGTTATAAAATTTGAGAAAACTTAAGGCAATCAGAGGAAATCATAAGTAAGTCTGAGGAGATGATGAGGAAATCAAGGAAAATCTTAAGAAACTTAGGGGGACATCTTGAAGAAATTATGGGAAATCTTAAGAAAATCAGTCAATCTTCTCTAGATCTAACTAGGATTTGCAAACGATTTCCCTTACTGTCATGTGACGATTTTTAAAATATTCCAAAATTATCGAGTTCTAGATTGTGTATTTGTAAAGTGTTCTAGAGTGTTCCAAAAGCTTTAGTTCAGAAGTGTTCTGATTTGGTTCTTATCTCGGTTCTTACATTCCAATTTGTCTCAAATAAATGCAGGAGGATTGAAAACCGAACTGAAAGTCTCCTGAAGCTTATCAAAGTTCTAAATTGCCTTAGAGCGTCATTATGTTATAAAATTTGAGGAAATCTAAAGGAATCAGGGAAAATTATAAGGAAGTCAGAGGAAATCAAGGGAAATCTCAAGAAACTTAGGAGGACATCTTAAAGAAATCATGGGAAATCTTAAGGAAATCAGTCAGTCTTCTCTAGATCCATGCATTTTTATTCTCATCAAATTTTACCGATGGATCCACCATTCTATGGCCGTCATTGTCATTTTCCATTCACTAAACAAAGATAGCTAACTCATCAGTGAAGTCACCAATGAGAATAAAAATGAGGGGATTCTAACCAGGATTTGAAAACAATTTTCTCTACTGTCATGTGACGATTTTTAAAATATTCCAAAAGTATCCAGTTCTGGATTGTTTCCAAAAGTTCCATATAAGGTATTTGTGAAGTGTTCTAGAGTGTTCCAAAAGCTTCAGTTCAGAAGTGTTCTGATCTCTTCTTAAATGTCTCTCAAAGTCTAAATTGTTTTTAAAGTGTTCTGTCACGTTTTACAGTGTTTTTAGATTCCGATTTGTCTCAAACAAATGCAGGAGGATTGAAAATTGAACTGATAGTCTCCTGAAGCGCTTATCAAAGTTCTAAATTGCCTTAGAGCGTCACTCGGAGCGTCATTATGTTTTGAAATTTGAGGAAATCAGTGATAATTATCAGGAACTCAGAGAAAATCTCAAGAAACTTAGGAGGACATCTTAAAGAAATCATGGGAAATCTTAAGGAAATCAGTCAGTCTTCTCTAACCCTCGATCTAACCAGGATTTGAAAACAATTTTCTCTACTGTCATGTGCCGATTTTTAAATTATTCCAAAACTATCCAGTTCTAGATTGTTTCCAAAAGTTCCATATTAGGTATTTGTAAAGTGTTCTAGAGTGTTCCAAAAGCTTCAGTTCAGAAGTGTTCTGATCTGTTCTTAAACATCTCTCAAAGTCTAAATTGTTTCTAAAGTGTTCTGTAACGTTTTACAATGTCCTTAAAGATTCCAATTTGTCTCAAACAAATGCAGGAGGATTGAAAATTAAATTGAAAGTCTTTTGAAGCTTATCAAGAAGTTCTAAATTGCTCAAGAGCGTCTTAAGATGCTTAAAAACTTGGCACTAGCGCATTCTGAGGTTTTTCAAAATACTTTTTAAAGTTTTTAATTGGTTCCCTAATAATTCTCAAGTGTTGGGATGTTCTTAAGCACTCTTTTATACCTCTGTAGTTATTTTATCTATTCAAAAACGATAGGTTATAATACAAAAAAATAGGTTTAGGTCAAAAACATCAAAAATCCAAAATTAAAATTCTGGATTTTTGCCAGTCCTGTTTCTCATTGTTGCAAGAGTACAGCTGAGTATTTTCTGAGGGATTTTCGTTTTTCTTGTATTAAAGTTAAAATGTGCCAATTGAAACCCAGACAATAATTTTATAGAGTGAAAATTGGAAAAATCAATCCATTGGAAATCTAGTGTTAAGACATTTTTAAATTACAAGTTTTAATTCAACCATAATTTTTTTAACAGATCATCCACATTGAAATTAACTTAAAAATAGACTATTTCAAATGTAAACATTTAAACAACGCCACAGATCATAAAAGAGATGTTGCCTATAATTTGAACAAAATAAATAATTAAAATTATACAATAATAATTAGGCTCATCACCTTGAGATTAAAACATCTTGTCCTCGATCTTGTCCCACATTTTTGAAAATGTTAAAGTTCTTTTATATTAAGCAAACTTATTTTTATAGGAAGATGATGGACAATTTGGAGATTTTTGACTGTGCTATGATGATAAGGAACTATCTCTACAGATGCAGCACCAACTTAGAAATACTTCTGATGCTTCAACACACAAGTTGCGCCTGTTCCAAATGTTCCAGAACAATGAAACTGTGTGAATTGAATCAAAAATAGATGCAAGGAATACTTCTTAGCATTGACAGTGATGCTGTGTGTGAACAAAATCAGAAATAGATGCATAAGACTAGCTCAGGAATACTTCTAATCCGCAAATTGTGCCTGAAATAATGAAATATGATGCAACACTAATTCAGAAATACTTCTGATCCTTCTGAAACTGAGCAGCATGACAGTGATACCAGTACCAAAACACTAAACACTAGAAACAAATCGAAATAACTTACCTACCGAAAAACTTACTTGGTTAAATATCCTAGTGGTACTATAGCATAGTAGATCACCACAAAAACGTACGTGGACTTGTACAAAAACGATAACATTGTCAATGTTTCCTAGTCTTTTGAAAAATCGTCAAATTTGCGGTTATAGGATTTTGGTTTATTTAATTTGTACAAAATGTATACGTGTGGTGGGTACCTGTAAAGGTAGAGGGGCGTACCAAGACCAATTATTGCAGAAGAGAAAATCATCTCAGTAAAATAGAAAAAAAAGGCAAGAAGGCCTCTTAAGCCACGTCCATGTTTTTATTTGATGTCTTTTGATTTGACACAAGTGGGAGCGTTCAGAAATTAAAAAGTGTACTCTAGGACAAGTAGAGCTGCAGGAATATATTGATTTATCTAAGGATAATGCTTGAACAATCTACAATCGTCCAAAAGGAATAGAATAAAATAATAATTCGAATCAACTCAACAAATAAGTACAAGGCGTTTTCAATTCTCTTAGAAAAATGTATTGAACTTAGAAAATAAAGGCCAAAATGAAAAATAGGTTTTATAGTTTATTTTTTAGACCAACAGCGGTTCAAAGTAGCTTAAGAAATTCTCGAGAACTGATTAAAATTTGTTTTTTATTCGATTTAATCAAAAAAAAAAACCGTTCAAATAAAATTACTCCGAACAGTGTTTTCGAAAACCCCTTTTAGAACACTGTCAACTCGAAGTTCGAACCACCAAAGCACATAACCCCACTTTTTTCTTCTTGTTCAAATTTATTATAAACAAAACTAAATTAAAAATGTTTAAAACAACAGCGGATTTATTAATTAAAAGCCACCCTTTGCGTGTTGTTCAGGGGAGGTTTTTTGCAGCTGCGGTGGCCGAACCGAAGTCCGAAGACAGGCTTCAAAGTTTTCGAACTTTTGAAGCCGACCCTTCCAAGCACAACACAAACCACCAGTCGCAGTTTTACAAAGTGGATTCGACAGACAAAAAGGTAATTTGCAGACGAAAAGGTAGTTAATAGACAAAAAGAAAATCAACAGACAAAAAGGTAATTAACAGACATAAAGGTAGTTAACAAAGGAAAAAGGTAATTAACAGACAAAAAGTTAAGTTGGGAGAGTTGTCTTTCAAAAAAATGTCCCTTAGGGCCAAATTATGGACCAACTGGTAAGTGTCTGGTTGTTACCTAGCAGGTAATTTCTATTCTCTAGTGCATAGAAAGTACCTGATAGGTAACAACAATTTGGCCCTTACAACAGCATTTTCTAGCTTTGAGAAATTGCTAAGGGACAAGGAAAGTTAATTAAGTCAAAATTACAGTACAACCTCGATAATCTGAACTAATTATTGCTAAGGTCATTTCGGATTACCGATTTGTTCGGATTATCAAAATGTGTGGTAAATTCACCTTAAATATGCAAATAATCAAAAATTAGGTTTATTTTTTAAGACTAATATAAATGTACGTAATTAACTCTAAGTTTAACTTAGGTTAGATGAGTAAAACAATTATTTAATGTACTTTTTTTTGCTTCATACTGGCTGCTTCTCTCATTTCCGCCTTCTTTTTCATTTCTTGGAGGGCCGGTTTATTCACCTTCTGATAAGTTGTCAGGTATGCAATCTGACTGATAAAGAGGCAATCTGTAATCCCATTGGTCGGCTAGTTATCCGCCGAGATAGTTAGGTACCAGGAAGATGAATAAACTGAGCTTTAGAATAAAAATGTTCTCAGCTGTTTCACAATTTTGTTCTGCTCATTTTAAACAAGTCTGAAAACATTTTACTGCTTTTCTGTGAATCACGTTGGTCGGTTCGATTTCTTCAGATTCTTCTTCGGATTCTTCTGATCCTGCTTTGAAAGCATTATTACGTATTAAATTTTACGTAGCGCGCGTAGCGTAATGCAGTTTTCAGCAGTTGTTCGGATTATCAAGATTTGTTCGGATTATGCCTTCGAGCATTCGCTGTTCGGATTAACGCATGGTCGGATTATCGAGGTTGTACTGCATATGCCTTCTTCCGAGTTATTACTTTGCAAATCAACTTCCTGAGAAAAGTATGGAAAAACTTATAAGGTTAGCCAAAATCCATAAAAAGTGTTTCATCCTCACTTTTTTTAATGTAAAATTGTGGTAAAATGCCTTAAAATAACGTTATGTTTCGATTCTGCTTTAGTAAAATTGAAGAATCAGATCATCTTTTTTTGTTCACTGAACCTGCTCCCTACCTTATGATTTAGATTTTGGAAAACTTTGCAAGTTCATAGCTTTTTTTCTATTAAAGATAAAAAGCTGAAATTTTCAGCGATTTTCATCCCAGTAGCGGACTACAATCCCTGAAAATTTCAGCTCATTTGGACCTATAGTTCCAGAAATAAAATCGTGTTAAGCAATTTGGGGTGATTTATCAATTTTTCAATTTTTCTGAGTGCCTTTTTTCATAGATTTCAGTTTCAAATCTGAGAATTATTTAGTTTATGGAGTTTGGTGGATCCCAAATGACCATTAGGACACAAAATCTCAACAGTAAAAAATTTGAAATTTCATCGTTTCAGTAAGAAGGTACCTTAGGATTTAGATTTTGGAAAACTTTGAAAGGTCATAACTTTTTTTCTATTATAGAAAGAAAGCTGAAATTTTCAGCGATTTTTATTCCAGTAGAGGACTACAATCCCTGAAAATTTCAACTCATTTGGACTTATAGTTCCTGAGATAAAATTGTGTTAAGCAATTTGGGGTAATTTATCCATTTTTCAATTTTTCTGAGTGCCTTTTTTCATAGATTTCGGCTTCAAATCTGAGAATAATTCAGTGTCTGGAGTTTGGGGGATCCCAGATGACCATTAGAACACAAAATCTCAACAGAAAAAAATTTGAAATTTCATCGTTTCAGTAAGAAGGTACCTTATGATTTAGATTTTGGAAAACTTTGAAAGGTCATAACTTTTTTTTCTATTATAGATAGAAAGCTGAAATTTTCAGCGATTCTTATTCCAGTAGAGTACTACAATCCCTGAAAATTTCAACTCATTTGGACTTATAGTTCCTGAGATAAAATCGTGTTAAGCAATTTAGGGTGATTTATCAATTTTTCAATTTTTCTGAGTGCCTTTTTTCATAGATTTCGGCTTCAAATCTGAAAATAATTTAGTGTATGGAGTTTGGGGGATCCTAAATGACCATTAGGACACAAAATCTCAACAGAAAAAAATTTGAAATTTCATCGTTTCAGTAAGAAGGTACCTTCGGATTTAGATTTTGCAAAACTTTGAAAGGTCATAACTTTTTTCCTATTATAGAAAGAAAGCTGAAATTTTCAGCGATTTTTATTCCAGTAGAGGACTACAATCCCTGAAAATTTCAACTCATTTGGACTTATAGTTCCTGAGATAAAATCGTGTTAAGCAATTTAGGGTGATTTATCAATTTTTCAATTTTTCTGAGTTCCTTTTTTCATAGATTTCGGCTTCAAATCTGAAAATAATTTAGTGTATGGAGTTTGGGGGATCCCAAATGACCATTAGGACACAAAATCTCAACAGAAAAAAATTTGAAATTTCATCGTTTCAGTAAGAAGGTACCTTCGGATTTAGATTTTGCAAAACTTTGAAAGGTCATAACTTTTTTCCTATTATAGAAAGAAAGCTGAAATTTTCAGCGATTTTTATTCCAGTAGAGGACTACAATCCCTGAAAATTTCAACTCATTTGGACTTATAGTTCCTGAGATAAAATTGTGTTAAGCAATTTGGGGTAATTTATCCATTTTTCAATTTTTCTGAGTGCCTTTTTTCATAGATTTCGGCTTCAAATCTGAGAATAATTCAGTGTCTGGAGTTTGGGGGATCCCAGATGACCATTAGGACACAAAATCTCAACAGAAAAAAATTTGAAATTTCATCGTTTCAGTAAGAAGGTACCTTCGGATTTAGATTTTGCAAAACTTTGAAAGGTCATAACTTTTTTCCTATTATAGAAAGAAAGCTGAAATTTTCAGCGATTTTTATTCCAGTAGAGGACTACAATCCCTGAAAATTTCAACTCATTTGGACTTATAGTTCCTGAGATAAAATTGTGTTAAGCAATTTGGGGTAATTTATCCATTTTTCAATTTTTCTGAGTGCCTTTTTTCATAGATTTCGGCTTCAAATCTGAGAATAATTCAGTGTCTGGAGTTTGGGGGATCCCAGATGACCATTAGGACACAAAATCTCAACAGAAAAAAATTTGAAATTTCATCGTTTCAGTAAGAAGGTACCTTCGGATTTAGATTTTGCAAAACTTTGAAAGGTCATAACTTTTTTCCTATTATAGAAAGAAAGCTGAAATTTTCAGCGATTTTTATTCCAGTAGAGGACTACAATCCCTGAAAATTTCAACTCATTTGGACTTATAGTTCCTGAGATAAAATCGTGTTAAGCAATTTAGGGTGATTTATCAATTTTTCAATTTTTCTGAGTTCCTTTTTTCATAGATTTCGGCTTCAAATCTGAAAATAATTTAGTGTATGGAGTTTGGGGGATCCCAAATGACCATTAGGACACAAAATCTCAACAGAAAAAAATTTGAAATTTCATCGTTTCAGTAAGAAGGTACCTTCGGATTTAGATTTTGCAAAACTTTGAAAGGTCATAACTTTTTTCCTATTATAGAAAGAAAGCTGAAATTTTCAGCGATTTTTATTCCAGTAGAGGACTACAATCCCCGAAAATTTCAACTCATTTGGACTTATAGTTCCTGAGATAAAATCGTGTTAAGCAATTTAGGGTGATTTATCAATTTTTCAATTTTTCTGAGTTCCTTTTTTCATAGATTTCGGCTTCAAATCTGAAAATAATTTAGTGTATGGAGTTTGGGGGATCCCAAATGACCATTAGGACACAAAATCTCAACAGAAAAAAATTTGAAATTTCATCGTTTCAGTAAGAAGGTACCTTCGGATTTAGATTTTGCAAAACTTTGAAAGGTCATAACTTTTTTCCTATTATAGAAAGAAAGCTGAAATTTTCAGCGATTTTTATTCCAGTAGAGGACTACAATCCCTGAAAATTTCAACTCATTTGGACTTATAGTTCCTGAGATAAAATCGTGTTAAGCAATTTAGGGTGATTTATCAATTTTTCAATTTTTCTGAGTTCCTTTTTTCATAGATTTCGGCTTCAAATCTGAAAATAATTTAGTGTATGGAGTTTGGGGGATCCCAAATGACCATTAGGACACAAAATCTCAACAGAAAAAAATTTGAAATTTCATCGTTTTAGTAAGAAGGTGATTTAGATTTTGAAAAATTCCAAACTTTCTGATTCTCCACAAAATTCCTCTATTTTTGTTGTTGTCCTGTCTATTCAATGTTCTCTGGATAGTACAAATTTGATTTTTTTCTATTGTCTACAACCTCTAGATTCTAAATTCCTAGTCATTAATCTACAAACTTCCTGGATCATCATAAAGACTGGTTATTTTGTAGATTGTGAAAATTTCTTGATTTTTTTTCTGAAAATCTCTATTTTCCAGATCCTGAGTCATTATTTACTGGTAGTTGTTTGTAAAAATTGAATATTCTAGGCCCTTCAATTTCAGAATTAGGAAATCATCAAGGAATTAACTGACTTGTATATGATCTGTAAACTGCTTAGCTCAATTTAGGATCCAAGTTCTTGAAAAGGGGTCTTTTTTAGATAAGAAAACTGTGTATAATCTTACATTTTAGATTAACACTTGGCACTATGGTATGAATGAGTTCTGTATGAATAGGTCTTTGACAGAAGAAACCCAAAGCCCACTGGGTTTTTGCCAATATTGATGGTGTATGCCTGAAAAGATTTCTAAAACCTCCAATTTTACAAGTTCCAAATCTTAAAAATTTTCCCTTCATCTTTTGGAATCCCAAAACTTCCTTACAAATTATTGTAATATTTGTCTTAATCCCCAAAAAACAACAAAACCCCCAATTACACTAAATTTCTCAACAGGTATTGTTCCAGTATGGAGGTCTACCAAAATCCTTCCAAATCCAAGCAAAAACCTTCAACGAAACCTGCCTAATGGTCAGAGACCCATCAATACAAATCATAAACCATTTAAAAACCATCGACTACACCCAACCTCCAATCAAATTCGTCTTATATGGTAAAAAGGGCTGTGGAAAAACCCTAACTTTAGCCCACATAATGCACTACGCTTACAAAAACGATTTTTTAATCGTGCACGTGCCCTGGGTGGGCAACTGGATGCGCAGATGCAAAGATACCAGCAATTCTGAAACGAAACCCGGATTCATAGATTTGAATATTGATGCTGCCGCTTGGCTGGTGCATTTCAAGACTCAGAATGCCAACATTTTAGAGAATCCAGAGCTGAAAACTACTATCGATATTCAATGGAATAAAAGAGAATGTACACCAATAGGGTCTAGTTTGTTAGAGTTAATAGATCAAGGGATAAATAGGATTCGGTTTGCTTCAAATTGTGTCAATTATTTGGCGGAGGAAGTTAAGAAACTCAGTCAAAGTGGATTGTGTAGGACTTTGTTGGCTATTGATGGTTTTAATGCGTTTTTTTATCCAAATACTAGAGTTTTTACTGAGAAAAAGGAAATGGTGCCTCCTAGTAGAGTAACTTTGACAGAAGGATTTTTAAATTTGACCAAATTTGATTGGAAAAATTCAGTTATTGTTGTGACTGTCGATGAAATTGCCATTGCGGAAAAGGATCAGATTTCACATTATCCAAGGTAATTTTTGCTGTAATTTCTGAGACATATTTTGATCCAAATTTTTTAGGTATCTTCTAGGGAAATCTGGTTTTGAACACTTGGATCCATTCTTACCGGTTGAAGTAAAAGATTACTCGGAAAAAGAACATCAAAGCATTATGGATTATTACAGAGAAAGGAAATGGATTCATTCTTATCCCGGACAAAATGACGAACTCTATTTCTTGAGCGGTGGAAATCCGTTTAGATTAATGAATTTGTGTAATGCTTTGTAGATTAATAATGTAAATAAATTTGTTTTTTTCTTTCTACAAGTCGTACAAAGTCGTGCAGTTAATTTTGTTGAATTTTCTGGTGTTTTGTTTGAGTGAGACCTTGCATGATTTGAAATTACACCAATAATGTCCAAATTTGACTATTATAGAAAAATTAGTGACACGCAAAGGATGACTAAACTACCAAAATTACTATTTATAACAAATAAAATTTCAACAAAAAGTGGTTTCATTACATTGAGGAGATCTAATTGTTAATTATTGCTATTTCCGTCTGATTAATAATTTCATTTTTATTATGCCAATTAGCAAATAAAAGGGGATCTTTTTATCCCCAACAAAAGTTTTGTAAAATTCCTTTATAATGTATGAGCCTAATTTCCTGCTGACAAGCATGCGCCTAGCAGGATTTTCCTGCTATGCCTACATATAAAAAAGAAAGACACAGGCTTATTGGGTTCATTCGGTGTTTTATGTTTTTACATGCAGCAGGAGAGTGGTTTCGATCTATTTATAATTAAAACGGTTGTGTGCTGCCCTGCCAGCTGATATTGAAGGTGAGAGTTTTAAATGTTTTCCTGCTTTGTTTGTTTTTGCGGAAGCTGATTCTTGCTTTGTTTAAATTCACAGCAATTTTTGCTGTGACCTTAGGTTTTTTGAAGGCATTGAGGTTCCAAATTGATTATATTTGTGTTTTAATTTCAGGGGGAGAAAAAGGTAGACAGTTTTCTGGAAAACAATTACAGTAGGGCGGGATCTTGTAAGGTTTCATTTTTGTTTTTAGGGAGGAAAATTAATCATGACTAATAAAAATAAAGTTTGTTTCTTTTTGGATTTTTACTTAATTGCGTTGGAGTTTTTGGATGTTTTATTAATTAATTTTTGAACAGTTTTGTACAAAATTTTTGACTACAAAGTTCAATAGTTTGGTAATTATAAAAATTGCTCAGTAAAGACATTTCAATTGATCAAATATCATTGTAAATATGAGCCAATTATTAGTGACCATGTCAGAATTCAAAGCCAAAAATTAGATTCTTCAATTTCAATCCAATCGCTCAAGCATTTTCTTCAAAAAAAAATAAGACGTTTTTCAATGTTATTTTGGAAATTTGATTTTTTCTAAAATAATATCAACGCACATTTTGGCTCACTACTTTGTAAATTTGAATCCTATCTTAACAACATTAGGCTCATATTGGAGTTAATTGAATCCTCTACAAATCATTAATTGCAAAATTTCAATCCAATCCCTCAAACATTTTCCCAATTCGGTTTTTTGTGAATTTAATTTTTTCCTTAATGACAACGACACACATTTTGCCTCACAACTTTTTTAATTTCAATCCGATCTTAACGATATTAGGCTCATATTGAAGCTAATTAAATCCTCTACAAAGCCTTGATTTCAAAATTTCAATCCAAAATGTTGCTAAAGAAAAAATAAAACGTTCCTTAAAATATCATTTTTTGGCAATTTGATTTTTCCCTTATAAGGACATCGACGCACATTTTGTCGCACAATTTTATTAATTTCAATGTTATTTCAACGTAATTTGACTTCAATTAAGGCCAATCAAATCCTCTACAGATTACTAATGGATATGGTTTTAATGCAGCTTCAATAGTTTTGCAACTCTGGTGCTTCAAAATCTTTTGACTCTGATTTTTATCACTTATTTGAGCAATTAAATTTCAATCCTTTCTTTATCCACTTGCAAAATTTCAATCCTTTTTCATCCACTTGCAAAATTTCAGTCTAGTCCCTCGAAGACTTTCCTCAAAAAATAATAAAATGCCTCTCAATGTTGTTTTTTGGAAATTTGTTTTTTTCCAAAATGATATTAGACATACTTACATTTTGCCTCATAACTTTGTTAATTTCAATCCGATCTTCATGTAATTAGGCTGAAATTGAAGTCAATCAAATTCTCTACAAATCTCTATATAGACTTGCATGCTGCGCTGCTAGTGACGCTCTAGAATCTTGTAACCTTGAATATAAGAGCGTGATAACGCAACGGTATTGATTGCCGTCTGGAACGTTTTTATACAACCATTAATATAAGAATTTTACAATCATCATAAAAGAGGAACCAATGTATAAAGCAAATATTGTAATATGTACATATATTCATAAAAAAAGTTATAAATTATCAAGTTTTAGATGTACATATTGAGTATAATAACACTGTTTTATAAAAGAGATCTATTATTATTCAATTGAATGTACAAAAGATTGCCCATTTAGGTAAAACCAACATATTTCCCTTGCTTTTTTGAACTTTCTTTTAACTTCCTCATATTTTCCCACAACTTCTGTGGACATCCTCAATAATTTCTCAAATTTGCATAAATTGAACTTCCTTTGTAAGAGGTATATTTCTTCTACAAACTTGCCTTATTAATAGGTACCTACTTTTCCTGTACTTCTTCAACAATTGGAGGTATAAGTAATGCCTGTTTAATGTTATAATAATTATTAACATTCCTTATTTATTTTACAAAAGTTTTATAGATTGTAGAAATTCAAAAGCTATTATAATTACAAGTTGATTTTAAAACAAAGATGCCTAATAAATACCTATAGGGTGAGGCACGAAAAACTTCCCACCCAAGTGGTCTCAGGAGTTAGGGGATTAATTAAAAATCGCTCTGACATGTTAATTTTTGTTTTTTGGAGGACACATTTTATTGGTATTTTCACCCCTTACCTGTCAAACCCTTAGTGGGGGTGACAGGTACCCCCAAAATTTCAAATGAAAAGGGGGATCGAGTGATACGTCATTTGATAGCTATTTTCATTAGGATTATATCCCAGAAGTTTTAAAAATGCTACGTTGCTACTATTATATACCCTGTCGGAATGGCAGCTTGTCAAAGTTCGAAAAAATCAATGGAAAAATATATATGCTGTGTGGTTTTTACCTTTTGTCTACGGATAGGTGTTACAGGTAAAAACTATAGTTTAGATTATCGAAAAAAAGCATTCATCCTAAATTTGACATGCCGGCATTTCGGCAGGGTAAATAGTAGGTAACAACTTAAAACTTCAGGTATATAATCTTAATGAAAATAGCTACCAAATGACATATCACTCGACCCCTCTTTCCATTTAAAATTTTGGGGGTAGGTACCTGTTACCCCCACTTAGGGGTGACAGGTAGGAGAAGAAAATACCAATGAAATGTGTCCCATAAAAAACAAAAATTGACGTGTCTGAGCGATTTTTGATTAAACACCTAGCAACTGAGAAACTCTGGGTGGGAAGTTTTTTGTGCCCCACCCTGTATACGGCTATATAAAGGACCCTGCACACTTCTTATGGGATTTCTGACTGCGGTCAAATTTAACCAAATTTTAGTATGTTATAGATCTGACCTTTCTAATCAATAATAACTACCATGGGCACAACTTAATCATATGACCAAGGCTGCCGTTTCGGTACAATTGTACTGAATTCAGTACCAAATTAGCAAATTCAGTACGTCAGTACAACCTTCTGAAAAAACACCCAATTTGAGTAACGTGACGTCAAGTCAAATGAACTCGTGCACTGCAAAAGTGCTCTGGGTTGAGCCTGATCATGTTCACTTTAATTTTTATTATTTATCCATATTACATATTTTATATTATTCAAAATAAAGTATTTTCCAACACGTCAAAAATCGTCCCGTGAACAGTCTTGAAACCACTCTATATAGGAATTTTGGGCTTAACGCACAAATTTTTGGCTTTGCGCAGAATCGTGACCGTAAATTTTACGGTTTCTTGACGTGTTGGAACAAAGCTATTAAGAGAATGAGTTTTCGTTTACCATCTTCGAATTTTTTAAATTGCACAGCGAAAGATATTTGAATATATTTACAGGGTGTCAAGTTATAAAGTACCACCACCTGACCACCTGTAACTTTTGTATTTTTGATCATACATAAAAAAGTTACAGGTGGTGGTACTTTATAATTTGAAACCCAGTACCTAATTGTTTTAACCTCATTCAGCTAAATTTATAGACATCGATCTATAGATCTATACACCCAATATCCACTTTTACATAGATCTATATAAATCCACTTTTATACATTCAAATTTTTGAATTTGTCGCCATTCAGTACAATTTTTTCAGATTTAGTACAATTTCTGTTCAATATTCAGTACGCTATCAAAATCGTTTGCGGCAGCCCTGCATATGACTAGTTTTTGAGATACACAGTGTGTTCAATGTGTGAATGTCCGATATGCATAATTATGTAAATCATATTCGTGCGAAAATTCGGTCAAGGCACAGAAATAAAGTAAAATACCAATTTCTAGTTATTTGTACTCGAACCATAGGTTCATGCTGCATTCATGCACAGGGTGACCCATTTAAGTTGTACCGGGTCTGTTCCTTATAATTTCTACAGCTTAAACAAAAAAATAATTTGAAGAAAACTTAAATACAAAAGTTGTAGGGTTTTGCCCTTAGAGCAGGAACGGAAAGGAGTAGGAACGCGCCATTCTGCTTATGAATCAAAGTTTAACCAAGTTTTTGACAGATGTTTGGCACCAAAATACAGGTAAAGCATTGAGTTGCTTATACCGCCATTTTTTTGGTACCAAACCTGGAAAAAAACGGCTTCATTTTCCAACTCCATGTTACTACTCCTCTTTACCTTTACTTGCTCTAAGGTTTTGCCCCTATTATCTTTTTCAAATGTCAAAATGGGCAAGGGACCAACTACTGTCATAATGACAAACACTTGCATTTTTTCAAATGGAACACCCTGTAAATTTGTGGCTAGATTTTTTCTTTCTGATTTCAAATAAGTATATGTTGATATTTGGTTCAGCTGTTTTTACGCTATTTAGGTTTTACTTTACATCAAAAGTTGCTTAAAATGAAGCAGCAAAAGAGTCATTATAGGATACTTTGAAAGCAAACACCGGCCGCAACAAACCCTATTGGGGGGATGCAGAGATAGAAAAGGAAATTGAAGTAAAATAACAAACCTATGAAAAATATCTTAGTAGGTAGGTACTCAAACAGAATAGAATACCACAAAGAATTATATGAACTATTACCAAGGAGAGTACCCGTAATATGATCACGCAAAAGAAAATCGATACAAGGGAAAGACGCTGTAATAGATTAAACTTACCATGAAGTAGAGTAGCGGGAATAGGACAGCAAAACAAAGACGTCTTTTTTTTTGCTGTCCTATTTCTGCTACTGCTTTCCACTGTTGCGTAAAGCAGGGACGATACCACATAATGGAAATTAAACTGTTATAATATATAGGAGGAGGAAAAAGCACAGAAAGCTGGAGATCTCTCTAATATTTGAGGCAAGAGAAGACCAAAGAAATCATATCTCCGATTACTCCAAATTATTGGGATTAGTAGTTCGTCACCCCTGAACCACTGAAGACCGCGAACAGTTCACAGAAGAACCCGAGAACGACAGAGTATAAATATCTGCCTCACCTATTAGAACATCTGTTGAGAAGGTGAAGAAGGTCTGTACAAAACTAAAAAAACAGAGAGGCCCTACTATAGGACTTGGTGATATAGATAC